TAGATGCATGTGAAGGTCATTAACCAACTGCATGTAGTCTAATACTTACTTTTATATAGGCATATAATAGTTGACAATTAAAAAAAATGTCTGACTCTGATATTGAGGTGGTGTTTCACCATGGGGGTAAGTTTTTAGATGCCATGGAAGTGACACCAGTACCTTGATCGTTGACACATAAAGATGGAGTTATTTTGAAATGTTGGCCATACTAAAGGAGATGGGATATAGAAATGTTAAGGAGTTGTGGTATTCCCTGGGTGGTCGTGTATTAGAAGCTAGGTTGGAATTGTTAACTAATGACATAGGAGCAATGCATGTCGTGAGCATTGCATTATTGAATGGTAAAGCTTATTTGTTTGTGGTTCACATGGTGTCCGAACCTGATTATATTCATATGTTGCAATATGATGTTGGTGAACATGGTGAGGATGGTGATGGTGAAAGTGATGAACATGCTGAAGTTGGTGAAGTTGAAGAACATGGTGAAGGTGCTGAACATGGTGAAGTTGGTGAAGTTGAAGAACATGGTTAAGGTGTTGAACATGGTGAAGTTGGAGATGTCGGTGAACATGGTCATGAGACATGGTGAAGTTGGAGAAGTTGGAGAACATGGTCATGGTGCTGAAGATACTGAAGTTGGTGAAGTTGGAGATATTGGTGAACATGGTCATGGTGAACATGGTCATGGTGAACATGCTGAATGTGCTGAAGTTTGTGAAGGGGATGTTGAGGATGGTGTATGTTATGAAGGGGATGTTGAAGATGATGTTGGTGGTGGTGAAGGGGATGTGCAAGAGGAGTCTGATGTTAGTAGTTGGATAGGGTCTTATGAAGAGGCTTTTGTCAGTGAAGATGATTTTGTGGATGTTGGTGTGCATGCAGATGAACAACTTCAAGAGCAAGACTGCGAAGGTAGTGTGTTTGTTGAAATGGGTACAGGAAGTGGATGCACTACCTCAAAGTTGCATATACAGGCCAGGGGCTTATCTGATACTGAGTGGGAATCTGATAGTTGTGGCAATATTTATGCAAGTGATGATGACTTAGATGATGAAACACCCCGAAATGGAGATTTTGGGATCTTCTCAGAGCCCGTAACTATGAAAGAATATAAATGGAAACTAGGGACGTACTTCCCTAAAAAAAAGATTTCACTGATGCAATTAGAACTTATGGAGTACATAATGGTAGGAAGTTCACGATTTCTAAGAATGACAAGAGAATAATATGTGTTAAATGTTGTGGCTCACAAGGGAAATGTCCATGGTACGCATACTATGCATATAGGAGTAGCCAAAGTACAAGGCAACTAGGGAAGATCATAGACAGGCATACATGTAGTAGATAATTCAACATTGGTTTAGTTACCTCGAAATGGTTAAGTGGCAAATTAGAGAAGAGCATGAAAGCAAATCCAGATATAAATCTGAAAAATCTGCACAGTAAGTTTTGTAAAAAATGGAACATTGGTGTGCTAAGTCTACAACAACTAAGGCAAAAGCAATGGTAACTGCCAACATTGATGGTTGTTTCAAACAAAAATATGAAAGATTGTATGATTATGCACAAGAATTACTGAGGTCAAACCTTGACTCAACAGTGAAAGTGAATGTAGAACGAAATGAGGATAAGGCTATATTCAATAGAATGTATGTGTGTTTCAAAGCATGTAAGGACAACTTTGTCTCATGTAGGCCTATTATACATTTGGATGGATGTTTTTTAAAAGGCAAATGTGGAGGTGAGCTTTTAACTACTGTTGGAAGAGATGGTAATGACCAGATGTGTCCGTTGGCATATGCTATTGTTGAAGTAGAGAATAAGGAAACATGGACTTGGTTTTTAGAATGATTAATTGATGATCTTGGAGGTGGGGGATTATGTTCAAGGTGTACCTTTGTGTCAGATCAACAGAAAGTAAGTAAATGTGTACCTTTCATTCATTACTTTGTTGACCATGCCAATTTAAGACTCATAGTTTCATTCATTACTGTCATAGGGACTTCTGTCAGCTATACAACAACTTTTACCTAATATGGACCAACGTTTCTATGTAAGGCACATTTATGCAAATTTTAGGAAGAAATTTCCTGGCATAAATCTGAGACAATTACTATGGAAGGCAGCAGCATCAATACACCCCCAAGCATGGGAATCACTCATGAGACAAATCAAGGACGTCAACGAAGACGCCTTTAAAAACTTGATAACTATTCCACCAAGGCAAGTACATTTGAAGTTTATATATTCTTTTGGATATGATGTATTTTGCACTTAATAACTTTAACATTTTGGATCATCTGTGATGTATTTTGTTAAGTGATGTTTAATCATCAATATCATATTATTTTGGGTTTTTCAAGTTCTATTGTCATAGCCATATTACTTTGCCTTCTCTGATTTCAAAGTTGATGACATATAATGTCTCATATTCTATTTTCATTTAAAAGTTCATGAAACTAGAATCTCATTTCATCAATATCACAAACACTTGAAGAATAACATAAGCACTCTGATACCAGTAACAACTTCTTCATCAAGTACAATCTCATTACACGCACAATGTCATTCAACCAGAATCTTCATTAAATAAGAAACAAGCATTACAATATAACCTCATCAAACACCACTTCAACAAAATTACAACATAAGACATACAAAGATGATGTTAATGAACCCCATCAAGCATAAAAACCCCAACAACACCTTCTCCCTTTTCTGACAAACCAAAAGTGATTTTTCTAAAGTAATAATCTTTCTCCTTTGCCATCCAATGGTATTATCCCTTTCATCTATATAATCTTCAGTGTGCTATTTGAAGAAATTACATCCTCTCACTTCTTCGTTTCGACTCCGCTGTTCAAAACATCCAATCAAAAACATCTCAGGATAAAGCAAACTAATGTACCCCAAAATAAAAACACAACGAAGAAAACAAACCTTGTAATTAGGGCAGCCCCAAAAATGCTTCCCCTCATTCTTAACATTTTTTGCGACTCTTAATACGACAAGCTCTCCAGAATAGCATATTTGGCTGCCAACCATTCCTCTTGATGAACCACCACGCGAGGTCCCCCATGAGCAAGACGAACATTGATTCATTGACATTACCTCGAGGAAGGACACAATACTACTTCGTCGAGACCTACAAAACCACCCCAATCCCAAGCAGCCAACTTAGGGCACCTACCTCACAAACAACGAACTTTAGTGAACTTCAGAAACTGTGTTAGAACGAAGAATTTAGGGCACCCCACCTCAGCTCACCTGCTTCACATGAGCTCCTTCAGCTAAGCTCCTTGGAGATTAATATGTTAGGGAAAATCCCTATGCATTTGCTTTTCCAAATTAAAAGGAAAATTTCATATGTTCTTGCTAAAAAATATGCTTTTATCACGTTGGATAAGTAATTTGCCACATCCTTTAACCTTTAACGTCGTTCCTACCACCTTAACGGATAGGACTGAAGTCATAAAATTTTCGTAACATGAGAACCGAATGCCTTCATTTTTAAAGATGGATACTAAACAAAAATTCATCTCTTAACATGGGACGAAGTAAGTATTTAAGCTTATTTTTTACTATCATAAAAAAAGTAACAATTATTTCACTAATATATAACATATTATATATATATATATATATATATATATATATATATATATATATATATATATTATGTCTAAAAATTCAATAAAATAACTAAAAAGCTTAATATAAATTTAAAATTGTAATTACATGATAATGTGTTTTTATTTAAAAAACATAAATTTTATTTATATAAGAAATTTATATATATAGTTCTATGTCAGTTTAAAACTATATAAGAGAACTAGTTTATCTCGTAATTCTATCAAACTTTTTTTAATACTATTAAGAGATTATAAAGAAAAATGTATTGACTGGTAATAAGAGAACTATTATTCTATACATGTCAAAGTGACAAGTTATAGTAATAATGAAAAAGAGAATTAAATGAAAATATTGGGAAAGTGAGTGCTTTAATAGTTCTATAAACATAATTGCAATAAATAAAGTGAGGCAAGTTGAATTCCACCTACCCATGCCACTTCGTTCTTAATTATATCCCAATTGATTATTTAATTTCTTCCTTTGGTTTTAGATTAATTACTTTGACCAATCCTCATACACTCTCAACTTGTCATGATTCATTATTAGAGAACTCAACCCAATATTAAGAATTGTTTTGTTGGCCATATATATATATATATATATATATATATAAGAACACTTGAATGAACTAAAGTGGTTCATTATTCTTTTACAGATCAACATTTATTCATGAAGCCAATACCAAGACAACAAAAAATAAAATTTAGAACCAAAAGCCAAACCCTTTTAAATGTTTTCTCTTTCTTGGCATGGTGGGAATGAAGCCTGCATAATTTAAATGCTCAGTAATATAACAAAACCTCTTCCTCGTTTGATAAAAAGACAAGAATCGGCCATATATTGAAAATTTTTTGGCACTAAAAAAGTAGTCCTCTATAAATTATTTTGAGAAAGAAGATTTTGAAGAAGAAACTTCCCTAACAAAATTGTCCATTTCTATCACATAGATGTACTACTGCTTTGAAACATCTTTGCTCCAACCATACATGTGTTTGAATTTATCATAAGTGTTTTGAAAAGCTTTTTCACAAAAAACATGGTTTACAGACTTCAAGAGGAAGATTAAACACATTCATATGAGCCAAACTCAAAGTCAAAGGAGAGAAAAGATAATAAAGGAAAATAGAGGAGGAAGAAGGAGAACTCATATAATTAATTAACCATTCCAAACACATGTACTTGTTCTTTACTACACATGAGGAAAATTCTCTCACATGGATTCAAACCAAACGTAGGTCACATCTTTTGGTTGATTCATGCAAACACCAGTACCAAGTATAAGACAATATAAGAAAAAGGGAAAAATTGAGGAGAGAAGAAAGCTATGGTCCAATCTAATTCATAGAAAAAGCCAAGCCAAGCAATTACAAAAGCTACGATATATTCACATACTAATTTAGTTGCTACATCAAAATTGCATATCTCATGCTGTCATTTACCATAAGATGATTCATTTCAGAAATCTGAACAAATTCACCAGAAACCCAAACCCCATCCGACCCATTTGCTTCAGGATGAGACACACATGAGAGAATTGATATGGGAGCATGAAGAATGCCATGTATAAGAGAGATTCCACTCCAACCATGCTCCCTTCTTCCTCCGTTTGCAGCAGCCTCAAACATGTTCTCATCAGCCACCCTCGATGAACTCTTCTTTGTGTTTTGCAGTTTCCTAGTCACCACACTCAGAAGACGCCACATAGTAAGTTTCTCACTTTCTCAGCTAGAAGAAGGAATAATAAACAGACCTAAATCAAAGCTTCTTTTTGTGTTGTTGAATGAGGGAAATGAAGGAGTTGAAGGGGCAATTACTCTTTGTGAAGCAAAGGTTTTGATATAATGGTAATTTGGTGGTGTTCTTGGTAGTGCTTGTGGTTATCACAAAAGGTTTATGGGTTCCTTTTGGTTTTAAAGAGGCCAACTATCACTACCATTTTCATTTCCCATTAATGAAAAATGGACCCTATCAAACCCAACTTGCCGACAAAGCTGCCCAACTGTACAAAAAAGTGTGATCTTTACTTTTGAATTTGGTTTTACTTTTGTTTGAGTTATACTTGTACATTTGTTACCCAATGTAAACAAACACATGGTTTTCCCACAAACACATGGAGGGCGGAATTTTTAAGGTATTACAATTCATTTGGGTAATACCAAGTTGAAGGAAGGGTGTTGGAAACTAAAGACAAAACTTATTATGGCCAATCATTGGATCAGTAAAATCATCATAGAATCATCACAGCCGTTTGATGAATCAAACACATTGCATCCAAAAGTGAAATTAATCAATTTTGATACTTTGGTTCTTCTTTTTTTTAACCTATGGTTGTGGACTCGTTATTCTTCTTTTTTACTTTTCTAAATTTATTTATACTTGTAGGATTGCTACTAATTGTGAAATAGTAATTAAGTTTTTATGCAATAATTATAATTCTTTATTTGATCCATTGAATAAGTTTTTTAATAGAGTAATAAACTGTTGGTTCAAATGAAACCTAAACTTGATAAGAAAAAAGATTAGCCCTATGATAATTAAAAACATTAATGATACTTTTAAAACATAAAAATATCCATTAGATAAAAGCTTTGTGCTATAATACCTCTCTGATGATGAAGCTGACACTAAAGTTTAGGTTCCTCCAAATCGTGGAAGGTTGAATGGGAGAATCAATTCCTGTACCAAAATGCGATAGAGACATATGTGGTGTTATATGAAGTAGTACTATTGCTCCACTATAAACAACCCCAAACCATCTAATTGTGGAAAACAAAAATGCACACAAATTAACAAAATATTGAATGCGACAAAATATTCATGGAGGACAAAAATACATACCTTACTAGTGTCTACTTAAATATATTCACTAACGAACAAGTCTTTCACAAAATTGATATCGTACTATTTTCTTTACTCAAATATTTTAATTAAGAAAATAGAAGTGACAAAAAGGTTAATATATTCCATCATTCACTAGTACAGTAAGAGAAAACGACAGCGGTTATTTTTGTTTATACGCAGCGGCTCCACAACTGAAGCATATACAGGCGAGGTAAAAAAAGGTAAGCTTTTTGCCTCGGTTCTGAACCGAGGCAAAAAGATGTGTGCTTGTGCCTCAGTTCAAATCCAACCGAGGCAGTAGAGGGGTGTGTGCTTATGCCTCGGTTCAAATCCAACCGAGGCAGTAGAGTGATTTTTTCTTTTTCACTACATGTTCAGTTGTGATATTGCAAGCTCCAAGCAAAACCGCCCAAATCGAATGATGACTACATGCAAATAGAACATTCCCAAAACTGATCCCATCCGACCTCACCCCCTCCTTCACCCCTCTCCATGTAATTAAAATGTACGCTCTATTTTATGTTGTGCATTAGCTTTAGCACTAAATGCAAATGAGGGTCACAAAGTCTTTAAAACTCAAACCGTTAACCATCTTGAGCAGCCTCTGCAAACAAGCACAAAGTCCATCAACAATGGGAAAACAGGTGATGGGAAAAGAAAGTACAAAAACCACGAAACAAATAAGAATAAATATTTGGGCCATGAAGCGAAAAAAGTGAGCACCTGAGAAAGGGGATTCATGGCAAAACTCAGGGTAGATAAGAACTCATTCGCCGAAATAATTCCCTTGACAGTAATAAAGGGACAATAAGAGAGAGAAAGAATCACTAGTTTTGGGATTCAAACCAAAATCTGCAGAACCATCTATTATTACTCACTTAACCGCTAGACTGGACTACAGAATAGCAAACATCAAATGATATTTTCACTGCAACCCACAATGTCCACCGCTCCATCTTGCAATGAATCAGAAACCCAAAAAATCAACCCCCAAAACGAAATCAAACTCTAAATCACTACAAGAACAAGAAACCACAGAATCAATCAAACAAAAAACACAATCGAAATCAGAGAACAATAATCCAATTTAAAAGGGGGTAAGAGAATGAGAGGTATACTCAGAGCAACTACTAATCAATCTCTGAATGTCATTGCCAACAGAAATGTCAGAATCGGCCAATTTTGCCTCCTCGAGCTTCTCAATCTCCTTCAACCACAGTCCAACGTGTAGCCTCTGCTTCTTCAGTCGATAATCCTTCTTCATATTCTTCACGCTGTAAAGCGCGCCATTTTCTTCCCTCTTCTCCTTCTCCTTCAATCCTCTTTGTCGCTCGTTCCAATTCTCGTTCATCTCCGCCAAGAACGCTTTCGCCTCCTCGTCGGCCTCGGCCACGGCGTCAATCGCCGCTACAGGGGAGGAAGAGGAGGAAGGGAAGTTGACATCGCTTTCCCATGGAGCTCGCATCTTCCGTGTTAAGTCTTCCGGCAGCCACGCTGTTTCCCAAGCCTCGTTCCCGAGAAGAGGAACGAAGCCTCCCTCTTGACAACGCAAAAGAGAAAACCCTATTTGGCTTGCGTGAGACCCTTGGTGCTGCCCAAAGTTGGGTCTCTCTGTGAGAAAAGAATCAAGACGAAGAAGGAGAAAAGAAATCTTGCTCCCTTGCACAACGCGGATCCAACGCTGTGTCGAATAGAGAAGAGGAAGAGGATGAAAAAAATTTAAAAAAAACTATTTGTGTTGTGGAGGAAAAAGAAAGCTCGTGGAGGAAGACGACGCCTGTTCGCTCAAGGAGAAAGAAAAAGCATTGGTCGCGTCATAAGATTTTTTTGGTAGGTGATGAGTCAATATTTTATTGATTTCACTTAGTTTATTGAACCAGATTTAATCAGGGAATTGTGCTTAAATGTCCGGTATTTTTCCATTTTTGCTAATTGTGCTTAATTTGACCAAAAATTCTTATTTTAATTAATTTTAATTATTTGAGATAATTATTTTCATTATTAATTGTAGGAAAATTGTTGGATAATATTTGGGACATTTTGGAGGTCAAAAGAAAATGTGACATCAATTTTGTTTAAACTAAAAAGAGAGAGAGGTGTGGGTTTCAATTTTTTTGATGCACATGGGAGTGGTGTATGCATTGGAGAAAGGGTGTGACACACAGCAACTTTGGAGTCCAACAACAACAGCACACAGGTTTGGCTTCCAGTACATTTAACCACGTGAAGCAAGGCATCCAACAAGGCATGAAGAGGTGTTGCACGTCTAGTAAAAAGAAGTGGCATCCTGCGGGAAGTCTGCACGCGTCCAGAATTGGCAGCACACTCCATGAGAAAGCTTGGACAACAGCTTGGGGAAGGCAGCTGGTGTTGGAAAGCACACGACCCTGGAGCTGCAGTGCACGCGGGAGACACACGGCCACCACGTCTTTGAGCTGGATCTCATGGAAGCACACAATAGCAGATTACACGCCCAGCAGAGTGAAACATCTTCACGCAAAAGAAGAAGCACCCAGCAAGCTTGAAAGCAGCGTTCATCACGGTCTAGCAGAAGCAGCGCATCCAGTAAGCAAGCCCAGCTATCTTCACCTTGGTCTAGCAGCTTAGAGCTTCACAGTGGTGAAGGAAGGAGAATGAGCAGCCACCGAGAGCAAGAAAGAACATAGCTCCACCATCCAAGACGTCCAGCTGCCACCGAGAGGGAGATCTTCATCCAGCGGCTTGAGACAGTCCAGCAACAAGAACAGCAGTAGCAAAGAAAGGAGGCTGGACGTGTAGGAGAAGGTCATCGGCTAGAGCACTAGTCCAGAATCCTCCACCGTTCCAACATCGTGAAGTAGCATTTCATGGAAGCAAGAAAGGAAGAGTCCAGCAGCTGCGTGAGGAGCTCACGGTACGGCAGCAGCCACATTCATGTCCAACACTCTTGGCAGTAGAAGCTCACGGTCCAGCTGGAGGTGCACAAAGGCAACAGCCACCATATATAAGGAGGGGTTCTCACGGAAGAAGCAAGGGGCTGGAACGTGTGAAAGAAGTCACGGTCAGCAAGCTTCGTCCAACAGCAGAGAAGATGGCAGCAAGGGACTGGTCCACGTAAAGGGTGAGTGGTGCTCTTGGACGGCTGGAAGAAGAGCCCACATAGAGACAAACACGACTGAATGGAATGGAGAAGAGAAGCAAGCAGCTGAACTGCAAAAAGCACAAGCTGCACTGATTTACTTTTGGAAGCAGAGAAGAGAACACGGTGATTATTATGGAGAAAAGAAAGCAAGACATGGAGGGCCCACCTTTGTTGACTTTTAGCATAGATTGAAGAAAAAAACAAAGGTGCTAGGGAGACAAACACACGGAAAAGCTGCTTGGAAAAAGCACAATTTTATTTTTGTCTTTCTTGGAAAAGCACCTCACGGCAGCAATAAAGGGGAGTGGGAGCAGCCTTCAGTGAGTGGTTACGGCCTGGGGAGAGGCTCTCTTCCAGAGTTCCAGTAGCTCCCATTTTTCTTCCAGTAGCTCCCATTCCAGTAGTGTGATTTCCAGTAGTGTAGTGTAGTTTTCCACCAGAATGTAATGAAGAGTAATGTAGGAGAGTGTAATACAGCCGTGTAGTGAGGAGAGAATGCAAAGAGTGCTGGGCAGTAGGCTGGAAAATACAGCAAAGGTGCTGGAACTAGGAGTTTGCAACTGAGAATGGAAGGCTACGGTTGAGAGTTGAGTAGTGTGCACACTAGGTTCCAATTTTATTTTCTTGTTTGCTGTAATGAATTTAAATTCAATTTCAGTTTGATTTAATTTTCTGAACTTCCAGTTCTGTTACTGTTTTTATTTTGCTTCTGTAATTTAATTTCTGCTGCTGTAATTTAAATTCTGCTGTAATTTAATTTTTGTATTTCGTTTTTCTACAGTTTAATTTTTGCTGTTGTTTTTATTCTGCTGTTGATTATTTCACTTTCAATTATTAACTGTAATTTCGTTTTCTGAACTTTGGTGCAGTAATTCTGATTCGGTTTTCATATTTTGCAATTTACTGTTTTCTGTAATTTCGTTTTCTATATTTTCGTTTTTTGTTCCAGATTTATTTTTACTGTTTTAATTTCGTTTTAATGTTTTAATTTTGTTTTTACGGTTTGCTTTTACTTCAACGCTTTTTAATTCAGTTTTATTTAATTTCCATTTTAAGTTAAGTTCATCCGCAACCAAAAACACTTTCAAAACCCCCCCACTACGTGTTTGATCTGAAACTGAACCACATTTGGTCCTTGAGAGACGATCTAGGAGTCACTTCCTAGCACTATACTGCATTCTTTAATGCAATCAATCACTAGTGCAGTAAGAGAAAATGGCACCGGTTACTTTTGCTTATAGGCACCGGTTCTACAACCGAGGCATATACAGACGAAGTAAAAAATGGTAGGTTTTATGCTTCGGTTATGAACTGAGTTAAAAAGAATAGGATTATGCCTCAGTTTTTAGGTAACCGAGGCAGTAACTTGTTTCTTTTTTAATTTTTCCAATCTCAGCCATCTTCATCTCCTAACCGGTTCTACCTTCAAGCTTTCCTTCCTAATCACCGCTTTCCTCACTTCTTGCTCCTCCTTTGGCTTAGGCATCATCTGTTCACCGTCAGGTAACCAATAAGCATGTTTCTGGAATGGAGGGTCAAAACTCAACAAAAGAGGCTTCATCACACAACACACAGAGAAGCTTCATCGCAGAACACACAGAGAAGCTTCATCGCAGAACACATAGAGAAGCTTCCTACATACACCACAAAGCAATACACAACACACAGAGAAGCTTCATTGCACAGTATACAACATCATCAACAAAAGACATCATCAACAAAAGAGAAGCTTCGGAGGGCGTCGGGGGACCACTGAAGGTTGTTTCGCGGAGAGGACTCTGAACTCCTTCAAAACGAAGTCGTTTCGCATGCCCTAGATCCTGACGGTACCGGAGGCATCAGCGGAGGCGACCCACTCGCCGTTGGGGGAGAAACGTGCGATGGTGGCCGAGGCGGAGGCGATCCACTCGCCGTTGGGGGAGAAAAGCGCCGTTGGGGGAGAAACTCGTGACGGTGGCCGGATCTGGCGTGTTCCCCGTAGACAAAGACGTGAAGGGGATTCTCAACGCTCAGAATCCCGCGGCCACATGATAACAGTTGAAAAACTGTTATTTTTATGATAAAAATTGACACTAAAAGCAACCTTTATACTTAGAAACTAGCTTGAAATCATGCTTTTCTTCATATTTTTAGAAATAAGAGAGCTGGACAGGTTTATGCTTGATTTCAGTGTTTTTGTGCTGATTTTAAGGTGAATTTGGTGAAAGAAGTGAAGAAGGAGAGAGATGAAATCAGAAAAGACATCAAAAAGTGCAAAAGGAGAAGCCGAAGTCACCGCTCAGCGGCAGTTTACCGCTGAGCGGCACTCAGGCACTCACGGGAGATCCGCTGAGGGGCAAAATGGCCGCTGAGGGGAGAAAACAAGACACGCACTTACCGCTGAGCGGTAATTTACCGCTGAGCGGCACTTTAATGGGCTTGGACCTAAGTTTTTGTAATTTACGAATGGTATTTAAGCTTTAGGGTTTCCTAGGGTTAGGTATCTTTGGCTGGAACGAAGCAAACACTCTCTCTTCCACCCCTTTGAAGGAGGATCTTGGATGCTGAGGCTTCCTCTTCACCTTTTTAGGGTTTATTCTTTCATTCTTTCATTCTTTCATTGTAATTCATCTAGGTTCACCATGAATATGGTGAACTAAACTCTGTATGTTTGTTGGGGAATCAATGTAATCTTGTGAAACTCTCATATATGGAATCTGTTTTTACATCTTTTAATTAAGACTTATGCTTTCTTTTCATCATTAGTTAGGGTTTTTCCTCTTTGCTTAATGCTTGCATTGTTTAACTCATTCGATGCATGATTATTGGTTTTGTCGATACGGGCACGTACGGGGAAGTCTAGATCCGGGGAATTTCTCCCAATATGATATTGGTTGTCGTTAAGCTCCTGCACTTATGAATTGATCTTTAGGAATGCTAGGAATTGTATGAACTCGTGATTAGGGAGAAGCCTTCTAGAAAGGTACTTTAGAGAGTGGCATTAACAATGATGATTTGAATGTTGAATTCCTAAAATATATGAGAGTGGATAAGATGAAATTGACCCCCAACAACATATTCATACATTAATATCATTGAAAGTGTTTATCTTTTGCTTTTTGCCATTGATCAAAACTTCATGCATACATGTTTATTTTCTGTCTTGCATATTAAACTCCAAATATTTTGTCTGTAAGTCTTAGCTAATTAAGAAACCACATAACTAAACTAGGCCGTGAGTCCTTTGGGAAGAACGATACTTGGTCTTACCAAGTTTATTACTTGAACGATTCGGTCATACTTGCCGATTGAAAAACAAGTTTGTGACATCATATTTTGGTGTTCATAAATTTGTCCATCACCACACTCCGTTGATCAGAATCTCACGAGATTGAACAACGACTCAATTTAGGGTTCATGGAATTTGGGATTTTTTGATTTCTGGGTTTGTAGGTGATGAAGATGAAGGTTGCAAGGCTAACGCCGGAGCTTCGTGAAGATGGGCATGGAAGATAGCGCCGACGCGATTCTGGTGAGGATGCGATTCTAGGTGGCTGACGGCAAGGTGGTTGACGGCAAGGTGGCTGACGACAAGGTGGCTAAGGTTTCGCTCAGTGGTGGTGGAGGTCGCAGGGGAAGAAGATCGCTCTAGGGGAAGGGGAAGAAGAAAAATGTGTATAGTTTTTCTGAGGTGTGTAATTTGAAAAGAGCTAACCGATACCTAAAGAGCTAAAAAAAATTCCAAATTAACCTATATGCCTCGGTTAGAAGGTAGACCGAAAACATAAATGTTTAATGACACCGGTTCGTAAAATAACCGAGGCAGTATAATGTATAGACTCCGGTTCCTACTGAACCGAGGCGTATAAGTTCGCCTTAACTACAAAATCGCCACCACGTTTCAATATGCTTCGATTTTGTGAAAACCGAAGCGTATTAGACGCGTTAAAAAACTGTTTTTTTACTAGTGAATTTTTGTGTGAGGTGCGACCCTCTCAACAGTAGGTTTGGGAGGCTTTATTGGCTCGGGTGATTAGCAAACGAGGTAGTAAGGCATTTTTATTCCTCGAGTGATTAGGAAACTGAGGTAGTAAACTTTTTTTGAAAATGGTAGTCTGACTTGTCAAAAAAGACATGTGCTCTGAGCAAGATTATATGCTTTGAGCAAGATTATATGCTTCGGTTGTTTATTTAATCGAGGCAATATACCTGTTACGTCTCGGGTCCCCTTGAACCGAGACATAAAACTTCGTAATAACTACGAAAATGCCATCGTGTTTTGATATACTTCGGTTTTTACGAAATCGAAGTGTACATAACGATTTAATAACCTCTTTTTTTACTAGTGATTGGTCCACTATACAAAAATAGGCTAAAAATCTCATCGTTTCTTGGTAAAGGATGAGTCGGTGGGTTAAAAGGTTAATCTTTCAATTTTTTTTTTATTTTAAATTTTTTATATATATACATATTAAAAATATATTTAATTATATAAATATTTTTTATGCCTAAAAGGATTGAATGACATTCAAAGATAAATGAACCAACTAAAATTTACAAAAAATGGCAAACAAAACATTTGAGGATAGTCAGGCGTCTTGCAGTGCAATAGACTGGCACTCAGCGCCCCCAAGAGGGTAAGCAGGCGATGATGCGCAAACATCAGTGCTAAGGGCCCCTGAAGAAGGCAATCAGGCGCCCATGCGAGCCTACCTGCGCTGAGGGCCCCAAAAAAGAGAAACCAAGCCTTCTCTAGCCATTGTCTCTGGTGCTTTTGTTGTCCCTCTTGAGTTCCACTTCCTTGATACTTTTGTTCTTCTTCCAAAGCATACCAATATCCTACAAAATAAAGGGGATTAATGCTAAAAATCATTAAGTATAACCTCAATTCTCTTATTCACGTAATTTAACTAAAAACAAGAGTTTAAGCAAGCTTCAAAGTCAAAAAGGGTTAATTTACTATCAAAATTGCATCACAGATAACGGTGAAATCAACCTTTGTCAGAAGGAAAAAAGGAGAAGAGAAGACGTGAAGATTTGAAAATGAAATATGAGGCGTGAAGAAGATGAAAAAGTGAAAATGAAGGGTGAAGAGCGAAAAATAAAAAATGAAGCGTGAAAAGGTGAAAATTAGGGTTTGGTTACTCGGTTCTATTAAAGAATCGCCAAAAATATGTTTTAAAATTTTTTTGAAAGAAATTTAATTGTTGTTTTATTTAATAATCCGTAAAAAATGTTAAGTTTTTGCGGTTTTAAGTTAAAATTGCCATAAATTAGTAGGGGTTTTTAACCCTCATAAAAAATCCCTTACTATATTATGTTATTTTTGTAGTGAATTTATAAATGTTAAATATGTAAGTTACAATGTTAATTCATATTTGCATCTTTAAAGTAATATAATATAAAAAAATTATTTTTTTAATTATTTAATATTTAATTTTAAATGAGTAGGTCCGCTAATTTGACAATTTAGGTAGTGTGGTCCAAAATAAGTTGAAAAGTTTAAAACTATAACATAGTCCGCCAAAATTTGACAATCCCATTTTGTCACTCCCAAGAAAAATATAACTGAAAAAAAATTCTACTCAAGTTTATCACCCAAATTTTTAGTTAGGTTATTAATTACAAAAGAAAACATAAATACTTAATATATCTTTCTAGTGGTGGTGGATACAATTTGGCAATGAATGTCTTGAGGATCTATAATCATATGGGGGACATTTTTTGATAAGGTGGCATAAGGAGAAGCAATTGAAGAGGAAGGGAGAGAGCATGGGTGGAGAAAGGAGAGACAAGAATATGTGGTGATTGAAATGCGAAAGGAAGTGATGTAAGATTTGGGAAATTAATATAACTTTTATGTATAAGTTAGTTAGTTAAATATCTTAGTTAATTAAATAAAGTTTATTTGCACTAATATTATATGGCTAACATTGGTAAGAACTTGTTGGGGGTGGGGTAAGGATCTCATGAACAAGTCCTATGTGGTGTGTTAATGGTTTGCATTATACATGGGTATGTGGTGTATGCAAAATTAGAATAAGTTAAAAGTTATTAAATTGTATTATAAACCAAAATACATGGCTTGGCGTAGTGGTAGAGTTGTGGTTGGTTGTGTGCGGACTGAGGGATTCCAAACTTGAACCTTGGGGAAAACAAAACTGGTGTTTTTGTTTTGCCTTATTTTATTTTATTTTTTTGAATGGAGAATCCATGCTTATAAATGAAATGCTCTACGTTGATTGTTAACTGTTATTTAAGTGCATTACTATGTGGTGTGTGGTATAAAGTTGCTTTGCTATTATTATAGATGCGGGTGCATGTTGTTGCATGGTTAACCTTGAGTTACCATATTATATTTGTCAAACCGCGTGTATTTGTTCTATGCAATGGTCATATGATGTTGGATGGGTGTTAAGGTTGCAAGAAAAAGTGTAGAGTAATGGGTTTCATAAATTTTACCGATTTAGTGCAATGTATGTATTGGTTTAAGATGGTACAATCAGTGGATAATATTGAAAGCTGATTCAAAACCATAGTTTCCATGAGACTTAAAAGTAGCATGGTGGTTATTTA